AAAAACAGAGCAGGCAGGGCAGGGAGGGAGCAGAGGATAAAAGTGTCCACCTTCACCGAGAGCAAGAGAGAAAGGTTGTCATTCCTTATCAACATCATCGACACAAACACAGACAAAGCAGAATTTGTAGCTTCTTCTAAAACAAACTTTTTTACAAGCTTTGTACTTTTTAGGAATTCCTGCTGTGGAAATCCATACTTCATTACACTGTTGTGTTTTTACTATAATTGTAACAGAAATAGAACTCTGCTGTCTTTTGTGTTAAAGTTCAGTTTTACTGGACTTGATCATAAATGACGGTAGTAATCATAACAGTGTTCTGTAAAACACTACAGTCTGAGCAAAAATGTAAAGTAACTATGTCCTACATCACCACACTGAACTCTGCACGTGATGAACTCATTAGCTGTAAATTATGAGGTAGGAGCTGCTGACAACTCTGATGGAGAAACTGCATCTATTTACTGACTGAATCTTATTCCTGAATACTTAAAATTCTAAATGAATAGTTTCTTCTTTTTAGATTAATAAAGCATGTTTTTATTTCATTAAATCTATAGTAATTGCCAATTATGTATGTCTTGATGTTTTATGTTGCAATTGAGTTTAATACTGCTGTCAACTGCGGATGTTTTTTTATAGGTTATGCTGGTGTGCACCACCTCTCCCTGTGTTTGATTCCTCACATGTGGATGTCGCATGTTGGTCCTAACTGAAACCTCAGTAGCTAGCTTCATAAGACAGATCCATATTATATATCACTCACATGGCAAATATGATAGGTGTGAAGAACTGACAACATTTCCAGGGTGTGTATCCTGTTTAATCAAGCTCCCAAAGAAATCACAGTGCTCTGATAGTTAAACACCAAACCAATCTCTACTGCATGCTACATCTGTCACTTGACTTCCTCCTAAACATCATTAGTATTATTTAAAGAAAAAAGACTGTACTAATGGGAAGGTTGTGTGTGTCTGCCCATGTTTATATATATATACCTCCCATTGTTTTGACAAGCAGTCTGAAATGATCATCAGTTGTTATGTGTTATCAGAGGAGGCCTCCCTTCTCAGATTAATCTGTGTGTGAGGAGGGAAGCAGGTGCTGCAGCCATTACCAGCCATCACTCCCCTGCAACGTCACACAACAAGAGGAGGCAGCAGGGGATGTTCAGATCCTCCCCCACATTTGGGCTCATTTTGCAATGAAATCTAAAGGATGTGACCAAACATGTTGTTCTAATAACACCATCTGATACTATATTAGAAATACACAGTAAGAACGTATTTATACTGCTACATTGTAATAAGTTTTTTTGTTCTATATTGGATGTTTATTCCTCATCACCTTTGAAACTAATGGCACTCAGACCATACAGCCTAATAGTTCAAGCAGTCACAGACATTTGCATAAACATAGATATGAAAACATTTTTACAAAAACTCAAATCCTAAATCTAAGCATGTCCCTATTACTGCTTTTATACCAATTAGGAGTTAGCTAGCTCTGGTTGTATCTTAAGAAGATTGATATATTTCTAGGTTTTACTGCAGAACTTTAGATGGCCCTGGCATGAATAAACTGGAATCTGTGTGGATTCATTTTAGATGCATTTTTCAAGCAACTGGCCAAGCACCACAACAGCTAAAGCAGCTGCTGTTCAGTTCGGCTAAAGTCTGTTTCAGCATGTTGCTTTAGCTCATTTCTATTTCAGACAGCCCATAAGAAGGATCACAGACAGGGGAGAAAAGTGGGATTTCTTCTCTTACCCTCGATCAAAATATTCATTTCTCCCACTTTATACTGAAAAAAAAGACTTGTATACAAGGCGTGATTGATCATCGGTGAGTCTGCTTTTTCTCCCCATGATTCTGGCCTCAGAGGTGAATCGGTAGAACGTTCTGCCTTTGAACCACTCTCTTCCTCACATCAAACTCCTGTAGCCCCTAGCGTGTTGTTCTTCTAGCTCAGAAAGTGTCAGACAAGTAGGATGGTTGATGTTTACAGCCAGTTACTATTAGACATCAGTGTTTTACTTAAGCACTGGATTCAGCTGTCTGTTGTCAGTCTGGAGCCTGCAGGGGCCGATAATGCTACCTTCGACATTACCTTTTCTCCAGAAAGGTCTGAGACAGCCCAGCCTCCCTTTAAACCAGGCAAGCCTCCAGGGCTGGAGGAAAACAACAAACTGAAATGTTTTCCATTGCTCCTTTTCACTCTTTCCTTGTTTGTCTGGTGGATAGAAAAGGTTGGAAAGCTTAGGGGAGATTTTGTTGTGTGAGAAAATCAATACATTCTGTAAAAAACAAACAGAAAAAGGACTCAAGATTAATGTGCACAATATGCAGGTCCATATGGTGCAATCCCATTAGTCTCTTCAGTCTTGCATGGTCAGATTTGTCAAAAGCAGAGTGTAATAAATGTTTATAGAAAAAGCTAGGCTTCTGTTTACCAGAAGACACTAGTTTTTGATCCAGCCTTTGACTGATATGGGATCTGGAAATGTAATAAATATATTTTCCTAAATTATGCTAATATGGACCAAAATATTTAGCAAAAATATATCTTAAAATGTTTTGATAACTCTCATAAATTTAAGTCTATGCAATATCATACACAGGTATTGTTCATTAATGCTAAATTTAGTATTATCCTATCTGGGTCTTATTTGAGAAACATTTATTTCCAATGCAAAAACAATACAGTGAAAGTGTGAGCTGCTTTTTACCACGTCTTCATGTTTATGATCAGTGTTTCTTGTGTACATGGTGCTGTCATGTTGGGTTTAATGTTTCGAGCCCACATGCAGAAACTCACGGAGAGGATAAGTAAATGCAATTAGTTTATTTACAATATTTACAAGTGACTTGACAGAGCAACAGAAAGGATGACTGCGACCAGGAACTCCGGAGCGTCTGCACACAAAAAGGGAGATGGTGAGTTCAATGACGGTGGGAAACTATGAACACCTGGAAATATTGTTTAATGGCTTACTTGTCGTTGAAGGTTTTGGATCAGCAGAGGGGAATTGGTACCAAGTTGTGGAGATTGTGATGAGAGCGTTGGTAGGCCGAGGACGGACGTGGCGTTGGAGGGCGGACAGGTAAGTCAGAGTGAGGGCACAGAGGAACAGCGATGCGGACTTCCAGCCAGAGACTTGTTGGAGGTAAGTTCACAGAGCAGATGGTTCACAGAGCAGATGGTAGTGATACTCGGGCTTCCAATGAGTAAAACTCACAGCATCTCAAAAAGAGTAATCCAGGGCTAGTGGACTCGAGGGAACTTTCCCAGAGGCACTTGAATTTGTCCTGAAAAAAAGAGTCGCAAAGGTCAAAACAATACAAAGGGAGCATGAAACGATTCTAAATTTTGACTCAGAGGGCTGGTGTACCACAAAAGGCAAACACTCTGGCAGAGAAGTACTGGAAGCCCGCTGCTCATATACTCCTCCTGGGTGATGATGATCCCAAACAGGTGTGTCCTGTTGGAACCGGTCAGCACGCCCTCCTGACAAACTCTAACCGCTGGCGCCCTCTGCTGGACAGTAGGTGATGCTGAAAATGAAAACAAACTAACCCCACAACCTGGTACCCAACAGTTGCATGCGAGGAGCTAATAAGCTAGCTCTGCACAGCCAGATCAGTAATTGTAGCGCAACGAGTAACGTTCAGACCTTTCAATTTCAAACGGAGTTTGTTGAAAAAGAAGGAAATGTGGAAACGAGGAAGACCAAACGGCTGAACAGAAGAGGCTGAGCTGAAAGCGCAGGTGTTTGTGCTGCTGATGTTTGGGAATGAGGAAAGCAAAGAGCTCCAGTTTCCAACTCAACCTGTAAGTATCAGGATCGAAATATTTTCTAAGATACACAATGAAGGCCTTCATTTCCTTCTTTTTCATGAGGCCGGTGTGTTGCAAAGCCTCAAAGATGCTTCATTGACACTGTAAACACCCATTCATTATCTTGAAATTTTTTGTTTTTATGTTAGCTTCTGCTAATGGTGTTAACTGTAGCTAATACAGCAAAGGGCAGATCACAAGCTGATCATGTTTGGTTTTTTCCAACCGATATCTTGTTTAAACCAGGACGTATAAACTTTGTGGCAGTTTTGACTCAATCCAGATATTTATTTTGTGTGATTCCCTCTTCAACCTCCATCACCTTGACTTCTTTTAGAAATATGTCTTTTAGGTTAATAGGACAGCATATTTGGTTCAACATGTTCAACTAGTCTAGAGTCCTTTAATAACTTTTGAAATGTTAGTGATAGACACTTAGAATCTCCAGGTAATCTAAAATTTATTGACTGTAGAAGGAATTTGGATTACCAGGAAATAATCCATGAATCCATGAGGAGAACATACAAAGAGATTACAAACCAGGAACCTGCACTAATCACTGCACACTGCTGAAGATGATGTTAATATTAAAAGTCACTTGGAGTCAATGAACCTTCTGCCCACTTCATGAATCATTTTAACTGTGTGGGGAAAAAAGAGAAAATAATAATAGAAAAAAGCTATGTAGTAAAAATCCTGAGCAAAAAAGCTGAACTTGCTAGGTTTCTCATAATAAACATTAGATGCAATATATTTATCATCTTCACAAGGTGGTTTCTGTTTTCCACTGGGTGTAGGTTTTGTGAGACCCTGTTTGAACTCCCTTGTAAAGCTGTGAAATTACCAACAACCACTGTGTTAAACCAGCTGGTCCAGGCAGATGGTCCTCTTTCCAGAGACAGGATCCTTTGAAAGTCTCTGACATCTATTTTGCGTTATCTTTGTATAGTATGCTAATCTATCTCTCGCTGTGGCTTTCTGGCTCTAGTCATTGTGTTGTTCAATCTCATTTTCTGAAGGAGAGGTGTTCATCAGATGAGTGATGTGGTCTGTGGTGAAACAGCTCTGTTCAAAGAAACATTACAAACCCTGCTACCAGCCAGCCACTGCACATGGACCACCAATCCACACTATATCTGATCCTCCCCAAGCTGAAAGTACTGATTGCACGGCTTCACATTTTGTCATAGACACCAAGGAACCCACAGCATAGATGAAGAGCTGTGAACAGCTGTTAAAGGCGATTCTATAGGATTCAAAGCTCACTAAGGTCTCAGCAACTTACACAGATTATTGAGCGTGGCTGGCTTGCAGCTGCTTTAGGAAACCAATAATGAGACAGATACACTGACTTAGAGTATGTGCTTGATATTTGCAGTAGTGATGTTAAACCTGAACATCTCTACCTTCATGATGCCTTTTCTTCTCTCAGAACTCCATGTTATCATTTTTTATATGTCAGCAGCGCTTCCCCATCCTACCAGGAAAACACATGATTT